AGGAACCTGCTTGCCCAAATGCCCAGTCAACTGTAGGGTCCCCTCGCCTGAAGCTCGCCTTGTCACCGCCTCCCGCAAACAGCAGGTCCCGTGTGCCTGGTCTCAAAGCGGCCTGTGACTTCGGTCCTCACATCCTGGTCCCCCAGTGGAAACCCAGATGGAGCCCTTGCTCTTTCCTTAACACCTCAACACCAAGACACAGGAGAAGGAAGTGTGTGGCCCCAGAAGGGCCTAGAAACAGCTGAAGGTGTCCACATGACACTGAAAAGAGGCAGAGATGCCCACAGCTCCACTTCTGCAGGAATGGCTACAGGCCAGCTCTGAGGCAGTGACTCAGGGGAATAAAGACCAGAGCAAGAACCTTAAGGGCTGGTTCTTTCTTCAGAGACAATGGCCGCATGGCACTGCAGCTGAGGACACAGAGAGGTGTTTGGGTGTCTGGGCCTCATGGACATCCAGTAGTCCCTCCACCGGGAAGGGGAGAAATGGCCGGGGGGAAGGTTTATCTGTTTAGTCCGCTGATGTAGCACTTGTGTCTCCAGAACATAGGATGGGGCCTGGCATAGAACAGACACCCAGGAAACAGAGCCACACGCTCAGTCTCTGCTTCTCTCCCCTCTCCCTTCCGTCTGCCTAGTCTGATCTTTTTAGTCTTTTCTTTTTCTTTCTCTCTCTCTCTCCCCCAAGACCCAGGATCTGGGTTTCTCTGGCAGAGCACAGTACCAGGGCAGGAGCTCAGCGGTCTGAGTCTAGAGGCAGAGGGTGCTGAACCGCAGCTGCTCCATGTGTTCCCCGGGGTCTCTTAGTGATGCAGACACATTCCAGGCCTGGTTGGGGTGGTAGACAAGCCTGCACCTCCCACACAGTCCCCAGTGATATGGATGCTTTGAGCAAGGGCCAGGTAGGTAGCCAGAACCTCCCCTCCTCTCTATTGGCCACCACAGGAACTTGGAACAGTCAGATGAAAGTCTACACTCCAAGCCATCAGAGGGAACTTCTTATTCTTGGAAGTTTTAGAGGCGGATGGGAGGGCCTCAGGAATCCCGGATAAAGTTAGAAAGCACTGGTAATTTCTCCTAGGCTGGAATAGAAAACTATCAAAACATCCATAGAGTGTGCCCAGCTCTGCCTGGGACTTCTGTCCCTTCAGAATCTCAAAACTTCACTCTTCCATGTTCCTGCCTAGGCTGCATCCTAACCCTAAACAACCCCTGGAAGGCCCCTCGGGGGTCTCACCTTTGAAGGCATCACATGGCTAAGCAGCAGTTGGGACAAGCCTGCCGTAGAGGCTCATCTCTCCATACTTCCCAGAATCCCAGGGCATTTGGTTCAGATCCCTAGAGCTCCATCAGCTGAGGTGGCCACAGAGAGCCTCAGATGAGGCCACACTTAGTGATCAGAAAGGCTGGAAGAAGCGGGTTCACCCGGATTTTCTGAGGGCTATGGCCCTTCATCTTGATTTCCCTACAGCAGAGTCTGGTGAACTCATACACATTTCTCTGGGCTCCCCACCCCACTGTTCACTGAAGAGCAATGCATGGGCAGATCTCCATCCATCACACAGAGGCAAACTGACTAGGATCCTAAGTTAGGTCAGGTCACTGTCTGCTCGGGGCAGGCCCCCTTCATGGCGTGTTGTCATTGAGGGTTGTGGGGAGCTCAGGTGGTAGAAGGCTACAGGTGACCCCTGAGGCTGCAAGACTGCTCCCAGAAGGTTGCAGGGCTGTCCCCCTCCACCTGGCCATCCTTTCTAGTCCTGGAATCTAACCTTGGGTAGGGCACAGGAACGGCCAGGCCAAAACTGGTCCTGCTGAACCAGTTGTCTCCATCAGATGGATACCATCCACATGCCTTCAGCTGCTCACATGAGGGTCCCAGATGGGAGAAACCTCATATTGTTCCTTGGCTACCACCCTACCCCAGGACTGGAGTATGGTTAAGAGGCCCCAGGGAATTGCTTGCACCATGGCTCTGCCATGCCCTCCCCTGCTTGGCTGCCAATGTCATTGGGTCTGCTAGCTGGGTTGATGGGCTCCACAGGTGAAGCTGGATGAGGAGATACTGATGCTGCTTGGAGAACCGACACTGGGCTGTTCTGCAGGGCCTGTGGCTCAGGCAGGCAATACATCCAAGGCTAACACAGCATTAGGTCTCTGTGGCTCTGAGGAACTCCGTGAAATCCCCCCTCTCCGAGTTGGCCCCTGAATGTGCCTTGTCCTGTCATAACCCACCAGGCTTGGGAACGAACTCATGCTGGAACGAGAGCCCCACACACTTTCTGATTTAGCCTGACTTGTCTTTCTCAGCCCGGCATTCGGAGGGGCAGCCCTTTGGGAAAACAATGCCAGCGCACACTGGTATTTTATAGGCACTTTCTGAGCACTAAAGCATTTTGGAATGATGCTGTTTGTTCAGAGCTCTGGACAGGTGCACAGTTTCTGCTGACGCCAACGTCTTCTTTCCCACTCAAGATTCTACTTGCTGGGCAGAGCTCTGCAGCCTGGCTGGCCTCTGTGAGCAGCTGCTGGAAGGGGCAGGAGGGGGAAGGCCACCAACCTGTCACCAGCTGCCTCCTCTGCTGCCTGGGGTGGCCAAATAAAGTTCACCCGGAAGGCAGACTGAAGCCATCCCATGTCCACACATACCTCTGCCCAGACCCCAAACACCATGAGACCCAGGACACTGTTGTGGGTAACTCTCATCCAGAGTGTGGCCGGTACACAGCAGGGCATGGTGAATGTACCATGCAGCAGTTTGAACCGTGTCTCCAAAACAACATGTTCTTGGAACCTGTGCATGAAGTCTTTTGGGGAACAAGGGCCTTTGCAGATGTGATTAAATTAAAGGAGCATCTTGGGTTTAGAGTGGGCCCCGAGCTCAGTGACTGATGCCCTTCAAGAGAAGGGAGGGGGGCTTGAGACACAGACATAGGAAGGGAGGAAAGCTTGTAAAGACAGAGGCAGAGATGAGTGATGGGGCCACAAGGCAACCATCACCTGGAGAGCCTGGCCCTACAGACACCTTGACTATAGACTTTCAGCTTCCAGAGCTGAGAATGAAATCCTGTTCTTGCAAGTTACCCAGGCCATGGCTGTTTATGACAGCAGCAGCAGGAGACTCATGTATGCCCTCGGACCTGGAGCTCAGTTCTAGTAGTGGCAGTCTCTGAAGGTCTCCTCTACAACTCACCACATCAGGTGCTCCAGCAGAGATGGGCCAGGGGTATACACTGGGGTGAGAGACCCACACCATGTAGCCGAAGGGGGCTGATGCTGATGGCAGGCAGGACCTTGCTCACCTGTGCTCAGAGCTCTTTTACAGCCTTCGGCCCATGTAGAGGGTTCTGTCACTGAAGAAGGGGGTACTGAGCAGAATGGGGACATGTGTCCAGCATTTGTGGACCAGTGGTCACAATTATGCTGGGAACTTCCAGCCTATTTAGAGGCAGATCTGTGGCCATTATGAAGATGACTAAATCCACGCAGTACCTGGTTGACCTTGTGACCACCTTCTTGCCGGATATGGTGCTCCACACTGGAAAAGCATGCAAATTGGCAAACAGGCCCCTCCTAAGCCCATATTTCACTTTTTGATTTAATTATTTTTATTTTATACATGTATAAAGTACATGTATATAAGTGCACCACATGCATTCAATGCCCTTGGGGGCCAGAAGAGGGCATTGGATCCCTTGGAACTGGATGGATGGTTGTTAGCAGCCAGTGGCTGCTGGGAGCTAAACTCTCTGCAAGAGCAGCCAGTGTTCTCAATCGCGGAGCCATCTCTCCAGCCCCAGAGCCCATATTTCAAAGAACGAAAGCAGAAAATAAACAGTTCCAGTGAACAAAACCCCTCCCTGCCCTTTGCTGGTAGGATGGCTCCAAGGAGAGCACTATTAAGTTTTTAAACAAAGCAGTTGTTTCTTCCCTGTGGCTGGCTCTGGGGTCTGCAATTATTGCCCATCTTCAGGTGGTTAGGTGCTCAGGAGGCCCAGAACTCCTGCAGTGCCTCACTTAATGAGGGTGGCACCTACTGAACCAGGGTGTCCCCTTCCCAGACTTCCCTCCCCAGTAGACTCTCTCAGAGGACCTCCTCTCAAGCTTTTGAAAACTCAGGTAGATGATGTCCGCAGGGTGGCTGGGATGTCACCACTTTATAGTATATTTTTTGAGAACTTTTGTGGTTGGCGAGCACGATTTTCTTTCAGGCGTCGGAGCGGTCTGACCTTATTACTTCCGGGCACGGGCCTGTAATTTCCAGGGTCTCCCTGGCTGATGTAGGCGATTTTCCAATTTCCAGAAAGAGCTTAGTTTCTGAGTGTTCTCAAGATCACTGCCATTTATACTTTCTAATTCCATTAGGTGAATCCGCTCCTGTCCTGGAGATTTACTGGGCTGGGATTTTGCAGGTAAGCTTATAAACTGCTTTCCAAGAGCTGGCGGCCAGGAAAGCCTGCCAAGACGGGCAGGCTGTGTCCACCTGAGCTCCAGGTGATTTTGGATAGATGACTTAAGATGAGCTTGGGGTGGGAACTCCACATAGCTCGAGTCAAGAAGGCTCACGGCTCAGCATCCAGATGGCTTGAGTAGCAGGAATTTAAATTCGTATGTCATCGAACACTGCATAAATCCATTTCCATCGTAACCAACACACAGAACTGGCTTTCCAAGAAGGCTCCTTGCCTGGGATCGCAGGTGAGCCTGTCTGCTCTGCCTGTCCTGCACGTCCCCACCGTTAGGCCCTCTGCCCTCTTCCTGCGTCTTTGACTATCATTTCAACATGAGAGGCACCCAGGTCAGGGCTGCCCTTGGCCCTGGGCAGAAGCAACCACGAATCAAGTTAATGAGTTGCCTGTGTGTCCTGGCCTCTGACTCCTGCTGATGTGGACAATCTAGATGTGTTGGGCCACATGTTCTAGAGGATAGTCCAGCCCCTCAGAGGGAAGTGTCATCATCCTCTGGATCTGGCCAGTGCCCCCTCTTGCTTTATCTGGTTTCTGATTTGCCTGCTAGCATCCTGCCTCTTGGTCTCTCCAGTGTGGTCTCTGCTGTGAGTAGAGTTCTCTGGGAGCCTTTCTGTGGGGTGCTGCTTGCCTTCCTTGGGATGGACTGCTGGCTGTGTTCCTGGCATCGGGGCTGGGTGACTTGGCTTGCAGGGGCTGAGAGTGTGCTGTTTCTTGGCACTGAGCTGCTGAGGGTTTTGGTGACCCCTGAGTGTGGTAGAGTCCTTCAAGGCTGTTGAGCCTCAGAACACCTTCAAGATGGGGTTGGCTATCAGGAAGGCCAGCTTGGTAGGTGTTGGGCTAGAATTTAGGACCATGCCAGTTCCTAGACAGGGAGGTTCAATGTGCTTGCTGAGGAGTCAACCAGTTGTGCCCCTGCAATGAAAGTGTGAGAAAAACCAGGCAGCTAGGCTCAGCAGGGTTTCTTGCTTAGTGAGAATGTGTGGAAGACGGACAGTCCTGATCCCCTGGGGGCAGGCATGGGTGCTGCACGGACAGTCCTGATCCCCTGGGGGCAGGCATGGGTGCTGCACGGACAGTCCTGATCCCCTGGGGGCAGGCATGGGTGCTGCACTCAGCCTTGGACCGAGCCTGTGCCTAACCTTCCTCATAGAGCTGCAATGTGGAGACACAGTGCTCTCGAGTTCTGTGAGATAGTCTAACAAGTGCTTGAACCTGAAGGCGTTATGGGAACTTCTGAACAGGTAGATGGCTGATCAAAAGTTGGGGGGGTGCCCAAGAGCGGGGGCATAAAAAATGAGTCAGTGTTGTAACTTTGTCCTAAACCTGCAGAGTCTGCTGCTGTCACTGGATAGCTCCTGCTGCGTTTGCTTCAAAGGCCACCTAGTGGGGCCACGTGGGGCATGAGCTCCCATCCTGACATTTCTGAGTCTCGGTCTCCCTTGGCTCAGCTGCGCGTGGAGCACCTGTTCTTCATGTCCCTTCATCTTCTGGGTCTCAGTTCTCTCACTTTTCCTCGGATAGGGTTGGGTGGATAGACCCCCAAGGTGTCTCTAGTCCTTTATGGTGACCCTGGGCTGCCTCTCTTCATGAATGTGGAGAAAGACACATGGTTTTCCTTCTTGGAACTATGTTGACTCCATTTTCAGAGGCACAGAGACCCTGAGCCACAGAGAAGCCCAGCAAGGATCTAAGGCATGGGAACTTGAAAGCACTGCTTGGCAGGTGAGGAGGAGGAGCTGGAAAAAATCCCTCCGGGAAAAGGGGTAGACAGAAGATCTCCCTGCAGCGTCTATGGGGTCGCATGCACCCACATGGCTCCCGACACACCCCAAGCCAAGGACCCACGCCGTCCCCGGAGGTAGCGTTCTCCTGTCTGAAAGGCTCAGCCTCACTGCAGAGCTTCCTCTTCCCTGGGTGGATTTTAAGGCCTTTTATCTTCTCTCTCCCTGTTATGTTCCCTCCCCTTTTCTAGGAAGCTCAGTAAGCACATTTTCTAGCTTCCCATTAGTTGGATTTGAGTTTCATCTGTCACCGGTGTGCAGGTGCTCAGGGCTGGCAGGGGTTACAGGTCACCCAGCCAGACTTTGGCTGGCCCCCATATGGCCTCTGCAGTGACCTCTGGAATTTCCCTGTCCACCTTGCCTCACCTCCCTGCCTGAAACTTCCCTTATTAAAAAGTTCTTGGTGGGAATCGTTGACTTGTTGCTTGATGACTTCCCCATCGGTCTGAGTGCTGCCTCTGGACCTCAAAGGGCGGTTCAACTCCTTCCTCCATGGCTGAGTTTCTGGCAGGGCTGGCTACCACTTCCCAGGGCAGTTGTGCCCATCCTCTGTGTCCTCCATGAGGGCCAGGCCTCACGACCCCCATATTCATGGGGGGGATGGACTTTCTCTTAGTGGGTTGGGTATCCAGCCATGACCTGCACCTCCCCTCTCCCGAGCCAGGCCACTTGCCTATCCTGGATGATAATAGCCACTATGTGGCTGACTTTCCTATTTCTATAATCACCTTCTGCACCCTCCCTTCAACAACCCCTCATCAAGGGCTTCCGGACTCTGCTGGCCTCACTCCCCGCCACATCATCTTTGCGGTACCCTCGCACATCTCTTGCATGGCCCCTGTGCCATGAGTCACCTCCCCTCCCTCCCCGGCTTTACCTTCTCCTTTGTCCACTTTTAGATGTTGCACTGGGTTGGACAGTGTCTCTGCCCCATAATTCATGACCACTTAGAATTGAAGAGTGTGACCTTAACTGGAAATAAGCTGCCTCCGTTATGTTTCTTGTTGCTATGACAGCCCACCTGACAAACTTAGGAAAGATTTAGATTGCTGTTTCAGAGTTCAGTCCATAACGGCAGGGTGGGTATGGTAAAACAAAACAAAACAAAAAACTCACATCATGGCAGGAGGGCGGGGGCAGGGCAAGATGGAGCCCCAAGGATATGCCCAGGGATTTGCTGCTTCTCACTCAGCCTGACCGACTCCACCGCCTCCCATGATGCTATTGTACTGTGACTCTGTCAAGTAATGAACCCACGGATTAGGTCACAGCCCTCAGGATCCAGAATCCAATCGCTTCCCGGAAGCCCTTCAGCTGGCAACCTCCTCCGACACACGAGACCATGCGGGACACTTCATAGTCAAAGCACAGCACTGACTTTTTGCAATGAGCTTGGATGCAGCCATCTTGAGTCAGGATGGACCCCTCAGTTCAAAGACCAGTGTCTTTCTGAGAAGGGGCGATTAGATACAGAAACACACAGCATGGGGAAGTGACCACAAGATGATAGAGACAAAGACTGGGGTGAAGTGGCCACAAGCCAAGAGGCACTTGTGTTTCTAGAAGCCAAAGGGTCAAGGAAGGACCCCCAAAGCTTCTGGAGAGAGTGGGGCCTGCCACCACCTTGACTTCAGACTTTGGGCCTGCAGAAGAGTGAGGTTTGCTGTATATACTCCATACACGGTATGGACGCGGTGATGCACCTTTCTGTGGAATCACAAAGCATCCTTATGGGCACACAGCGGGTGCTCAATAGATGCTTACCCTTCTCACATGTACCTCCAGACTCCTAGGAGCTGTGGGAGAAACACTGCTGCCTTTGGGACCATTGCCCTTTCAAATGCACAGTCTCTACTGTGAACTAGCCATGGCTAGCTGGGGGGGGGGGCTCCTCCTCTGTGTCCCCTGGGGCTGTTTGACAGGGTCCTCTCTTCCCCTAGCCTTCACCCTCACCTCCCCTTCCCACAGACTGCTGGTCACACTGCCCTATCCGCTCCCTGCATCCCAGCCCTTCCCTCCTTGGCCCAGGCTCTGGTCCTCTGGGTCATCTCCCTCCCTGCCCACCTCTGTCACCTCTCCAGTGTCATCTTCCTAGACAAAGACACGAATTCAGTAACCTCGTAAGCACAGCCTACCATTCCCATCCCAGCCACTGTCTTCATCAGCCTCCGATCTTGCCTAAACTCTCCATCCCCTCAACTAGGATGAAGAGACATCTGTCCATCCCACCATCTGCTCCCTCAGGCAGCCACTTTCCAGTGCTGAGTCGCAGAAACACCTGCCACCTCCTTCTGGCCATCACTCTAATCTCGCCATCACTGAATGAGTGCCTTGTGTGCTTGTGCCTCTGAATCTCCCTTCCTTTAGAAGGACATCCTTTATTGGATTTAGGCTCTATCCTGGCCCCATATATTTATATATTAACAAAGTACGAAGACCTTATTTCCAAACGAGGTCACATTCAAAGGTCATGGATGGGAGAATAGGGTGAGGACACTATTGGACCCATTTGACCTCTTGACCTCTGTGGCTCGCCCTCTTCTCGAGGCCCTCCTGTGGCCTTGGCTCTTTTGAGCGGCACCCCTGGTTTCTTCCTCCTTCATCCCCTTGTTTCTGCTCCTCCCCTCCCCAGCATCGGGGCTCCTGGTTTGCCCCACACCCTCCTGTTTCTCCTTCACCCACAGCAACCCTGCCGTAGCCCGAGACTAGTCCTGCCATTATCACACGGGAGGAGCTGTGACCCCCACCACGTGCCTGAGCTCAGAGCTGTGGCTTCGGGGATGCCAGGCCTTCCCTCATCCACCCACAGATAGGCAAATTACAAGGGCAGTCTCCCGACTCTCCCCCTAAGGCGGTCCTGCCTCGTCCTCATCCTGTTTCCGGAGTCACCAGCTCTACAGTGGACCTGACTCCCAGGCTCCCTCCCAATGCCCCCTCCAGCCCACCTATCTGTCCCAGGCATTTCCTTCCGCATCCCTTCTCTACTGGGCCAGGACAAGGACTGCCATTCCTTACCCAGAATAACGTGATGGGGTCCCGCAGGGGCACCGCTCAAGTCACATCTGAGAGATGTCTCTATCCTCGGGTCTGGTGGGAGAGGAGGGCAAGGAGTGGACCTGAAAGACCCGCTCCCGTCCTGAATCTCAAGGGGTGATGGGGCAGCTCTTCCACCTTGCCACACTCTGTAAGAGACGCACAGTGAGTCTAGAAACACACAGCTATGACAGCCTTCGTTTACAACATACAACCTCCCTGCACAGAAGGTCTTCCCTGAGCCATCTTCAGTCTGTTCTGTAGACTGTCCTGTATCATACAGCAAGATGCCAGGGCTGACGCTCAGTCATCCTCCCAAATTCTGAAGCCTAAGACTAATGGACTTTGCAGGGCTCCCTGTTTTCCCAGCATCTGTTCCGACATGTAGGGTTCTTTGTCCCAACACCAGATACCTCCCAAAGGAACCCGGAAGGTCCCTCTCCAAGGACAGGGGATGCTTATGCCATTTTATAAACCCAAGTTCTCATGGTTTTTCCTCCTACCATCCATCTCATTTGACATTCTGACCCCACAGCCACTTTGCTGAGTTACCCTGGGCAGATCTGTGAACTCTCTGGATCCTGTTTCCTTATTGAGAACAAGGACACGTGTCACACAAAGGCACAGAGCCATGGGAGAAAATGTGAGCTTAAGAAAGGCACGGAGGGCTGAAGATGTTGCTCAGTTGGTGGAGGACTTGCACAAAGCCATAGGTCCCATCCCCAGCACTGCATAAACTACATGCGGTGGTACGTGACGGTAATCTCAGCACTGGGGAGGTGTGGGCAGGAGGATCAGACGTTCAAGATCATTCTTGGCTATATAACAAGTTTGGCCAACCTGGGACATACAACACTGTCTTAAAACCAAACAACAACAAAACAAACACCAGTAATGAAATCCCCAAACCGAACCCCCAAACAAGAAAGGGCAAGGATCTCACTTCTACAGACCGATCAGGTGGCTGGGACCTAGGAGTACATGGAGGCCCCTAGGGCTCCCAGGGTATCCCCAAGCATCTACCCCAATGAGTAGTCACAGAACAGAACCAGCACCAGCCTCTAGCTAAGATGGGACCCCATGGGCCAGGCACTGTGTGGGCTCTTTCCCTGGAGCAGTTGTCTCCAAAACATCCCCTGGTAGGTCTGAGTAGGCTCAACTCTTTCCTGTGAGACCTCGAAGGCTCAGAGGTGGTGGGACTTGATGGAACCACTCAGCCAGTGAGGAGTCAGGGGCAGAGAGGGTACTTTTTATAGTCTGCATCAGCTTTGGGGGTATAAGGATCTCCCTGTTAGAGAGCAACAGCCCAGGCCAGTCTGAGAAAAAAACAGAGCAATGGCCTGGACCAGCAGCTGCTCTTTAAACCACCTCTACTGCTGGTGACAGGGGCCTGAGGGTGGCCTCAGGTGAGGTCCACAAAAGCAGGATGAGGGAGGCTTGGTTGCCCTATGTCTGGTGACAGCCTGTTCCTTATCTGAGTTCTGCCCAGGTTCCACAGGTGACGTACTGCTGATATCATTGTTTACACAGGATCACATAATGGGACACCAGGATCTGCAGGTGTTCAAGCAAGCCCCTTGTATAAAATGACTCAGTATTTTCATCGAACCTATGTTCACCCTCCTGTGTACTTTAATTTCCAGATTACTTAAAATACTTAATGCAATGCAAACGCTATGTCAAAAATGTGACAATGTCATGTTTAGGAGTAATTACACACAAAAGAAGGCCTGTAGGGGCTGGAAGGTGGCTCAACAGGTGAGCATGGGAATGTGAGTTTGAGTCCCCAGCACCCATGCAAGAAGCAGTCAGAGGGACTTAAAGGATACTTTTTGCCCCTTGCCCTCCAAGGTCGACTAAATTTCAGGGGACTATGGAGCATCTCTCAAAATGTCCTGTAACTGTGGTGAGTCACCTGTCCTCTTGTTCAGGGAGGCCATGGAGACCCCACGAGATGGACTTGAACCAGTGTCCAGTCTACAAAGAGGAGGGTCAACTCAGAGGAAACATCTCATCCATGCTTCCAAGTGAAGCCAGACATGGTCGAGCAGGACCTTTGACTTATATTCACATAGATGGAACCAGTAAAAGAAAGGAGCCAGGAGCTCCTCCCAAGCCCATGTGACCCCTGAGGAACAGATCATCCAATGATCTGAAGAGTAAAAATAAATTGGTTTCTTTGGGCCAAATGTATGGTCTTAAACACCTGAAAGGAAAGAATAACCAAAGATTAAAGTGATCAGTATATTTCTTTAAGAGTTCATGGGATTACACTTCCAGACATTAGGCTTAAAGCCACATAAAATGTTATTTAGACAATTATTTCTCATTGATGATTTTGCTTCCAAGCAGAAAGTGCTGCTCAGATGTAAGACTCCAAATCTTGGTCCCCAATACTGTAGTGCCCACCTGTAGCTAAGGGAGACAACCAGCTATTGTTTTAAAATGATGGCCAAATTTGTTTTCTCCCCTTATCTAGAAGCCTTTGAGAGGGAACTGACACTGATTCTAACCACTCCAACAGCTATCAAAGTGCCTGAAAACCAATCCTGAGTCCATCACTCTCGAGTCCAGCCTTGGCAGACAAAAGAAAAATGAGGAAAAATCCAATACAGGGATGATTTTGGGAGCTCTCATCAAGAAATCCCAATGGACTTTGATATGAACATTTGAAATTTGTCCTGTTCATTTTTCTGGTTCTCCGTCTAGAACTTGTAATGCTAACTACTCTTGCCTTTACTTCTCCTTCACATCTCCTAGTCACCAGTCAAGGACTTTCTTTTCTCCCTACTGATAAGAGTTATGCAATTTGGGAGTCTTTTAGATAGACCCACTGAAGGGGTACCCCAATTGCCTCACCCTGCATCCCTGTTCAGCACAGAAGAAGCCAGAGCGGTCTGTGTCCTGATTCCCTATCCACAAGTTGGTAACCCCTTCAGAGGATGGTGTGATAAGAATAGGAGGTAGGAATTGGCTAAGCAGTTAGGGTAAAAAGACCCCAAAGGAAAGTAGCCAGTTTCTTGGCTAAAAGTCAAAATGTCCTTGGGCCTCTTAGCATCATACTCTGTTCCAAAGGCCAAAAATGTCAAAATTATTTGGGAACTCTTATCTAATCATTAAAAGATTTCAGGGTTACCTCTTCAGAGGAGGGAATGTTAAGAGTAGCCAAAAGCCCCTTAAAGAAGAAGGAAGAGGAGGAGGAGGAGGAGGAGGAGGGGGAGGAGGAGGAAGCAGGGCATGGGGCCAGGTGCGATGGCGCACGCCTTTAATCCCAGTGCTCGGGAAGCAGAGGCAGGCAGATTTCTGTGAGATTGAGGCCAGCCTGGTCTACGTGGTGAATTCCAGGCCATCTGGGACTACAGGGAGACCAAGCCTCAAAAAAAAAAAAAGGACCCAAACCAAAGCAAAACAGCAACAAAGAAGTTCATGGATGAGTGTTCCAGAGAGCTCGGCCGGTCAGGCTGGCTGAAACAGCGGAACTGCAGCAGTGAGAGGCCTTATCTCAAGGTCTTAAGGTGGAGAGGGAAGGGGAGGACGGCCGTGAGGGAGGTGCCTACATCTTGCTGTTTTGCACGCAGAAGGGCATGCACATCCACATACTCACATGCATGCATCACATGCACACACACATGCATACAATATATATAAAATATGTGCACGCAGAAGGGCACGCACATCCACATACTCACATGCATGCACATGCATGCATCACATGCACACACACATGCATACAATATATATAAAATATATATTCTCAGTATACATGCAGCCCCCAGCCCCTCTTCAATACTTTGGATCTGTGGTTGGTTTGATCCATGGATACAGAGCTCATGAGAATGGAGGGCTGGTGAGTTTTTCCTAACAGATATTTAGATTCACATTTCCCTTGGCCTAGTGTTGTCCCAGATGCTGGCTCACAGGGCGTGCATCTCACTGATCCTCAGGTACGTTTGCCTCAGTTCTATCCATAGGACTGAGCCTCTCAGTCCTGATGGCCTGGGTTACCTCCAGAAGGGACTTCCTTGAGGTTGATGTAATTGATTCCAGTGCCCAGCTACCTCACTGGTTGGCCATAGGCACAATGACAGAGTGAGCAAATTTTTGAGTGTGCATACGTATGCACGTTCATGTGTGTATGTGCAGGTACATGTGTGTGCACGTGCAGGTGGAGGCCAGGGGGCACCTTTGGGTTTTTGGATCGCTCATTGGCCAGGGGCTGGCTGATTTGGCTAGGCTGGCCAGTTGTCGAGCCCCAGGGATCCTTCTTCTTTGTCTCCTCAGCACTGGGATTACTGGCACATGCCACCACCATACCCAGCTTTTTACACAGGGTCTGGGGAATCAAACTTCGGCCTTCAATCTTGCACAGCAAGCACTTTACCCTCAGAGCTGTCTCCTGAGTCTGTGATTTTTAAAAAATTACCTAACAGTCACTCAGTAAGCACTCAGCAAATCAGGGTGCTCCTGTCCTCCCTCATGGCATCCTGGGGGGTGTGGGGGCTCCTCTGCAGATGGAAAGTGGGGGACAGATAGGTGTGAGGCCCTTCCTGTTGCTGGCTTAGGAAGACCCCATGGTTCTGGGCTGGCCCATTAGCAGCTGGGGCTCAGTTGGGGCACCCGAGATGCTGGGGCAGTTAAGATGTGCCTCCCGTGCCCTGCCCCTGGCCTGCTCATTCCCAGATGGTGTCTCCATGTTCTCCTGTGACTCAGGCCACAGCCCATGTCACCCTCTATCCCACCCCCACCTCTGGATCCAGCCACCAACAAGCCTCTGTACTCCCTCCGAATCCCTTCCCTCCTCCACTCCCTGTATCCCACTGAACAGTTCACTGGCTCTGGTGTAGCCTCTGTAGCCTGAACTGCCCACTCCTGCCTCCATCACCCACCCAAGGAATGGGGCACCTCTTCCTGTCCTCGGCTCAGCTTGCTTCCCCGGGTGCCCACCCACCTCACCCGCTCACCCTGTTCCCCCCACTTCTCCCTCCGTTCCCTTTCTTCCTCTCCTCTCTGTGTCTCTCCCATCTCTGCTCCCCACCCCTTGGCCTCACTCCACCCCCATTCCCTCTCAGGGAGTCTCTCAGTCTTCCTAGCTCGCTTGCGCTGCCATCAGGCCTTAATGCCAGTTGGCCTTCTGCCTGGCCAGCTCCACCCTGTGATGTCACCAGGCCATGTAGCTCGGAGTCAGGTTTGAAGTGTTCCCCACCCCCAAATGGTCTGTCCTCTTCTTCAGGCCTCACAGCACCATCTGACTTCCCCTTTGGGACTTTGAGTATTTGTGAACCAGTTGTTTCCCCTCTCCAGGCCATCAGCTCCTTGAGCTCAGGGACCAGACTGAGCCCTTGCCTCTACCTCATGCTGCTGTGTCCCCATCATCCAGATAGAGCAGAAGCTCACTAAGGTACCCACTGTCCCCTTGGGTCCCTTAGTATGCCCCCGTGAAGGTCTGCAGTGTGTCAGCCAGTGTTTGCCAAGTGCTGCATGTGGCCAGCTCTGTGCTGTCCTCAAAGGACACAACAGCTTGTGACAGAGGCCCTGATCCCACCCCGTCAATACCAGGAGACCAAATGGCACACATTGTGTTTGATCTAGAAAACAGAGGGCTATGAGTTGGGCTGGAGACAGCTGTGACACGGGCTTAGACCAGGACAATGGAAGAAGTTGGTGCCTTTTCTGTCACAGAGCTGTCCTGCAGCCTAGGTGTTCCCTGGGCTTCCTGTCCCCACAGGCGCCACACGCACCCTCATGGCTGTGCTGTTCACAAAGGTGGGAAGGTGGAGGAGACCAGGCAAACATCATCGAAGGCTGCAGATGAACATGCTGTGGCGCACCGTATGTTCAGTCATAAGACATGTACTGAAAGACGGGAGACTCTCAAACGCATGTTAAGTGAAAGTCACAAGAGGTCACAGAGTTGGAAGGTATACACAGTGCAGAGGGAGCTGTGTTTGCAGGGGCAGGGTGGGATTTGGGGGAGCTGTGTGATGACTGCTAAGAGCTTTTATGAGGATAGCTGTAGGAGTCTAGAGCTGCTGTGGTGCTGGCTGTGTACCCGGTTCACGGAAAACCACTGCAGTGTCTGCTCTAAGAGGTGATGGGGAGGCTGGAGGGATGGCTCAGCAGTTAAGAGCACTGGCTGCTCTGGCAGAGGACCTGGGTTCAGTTCCCAAGTTCCCAGCACCCACACGGCAGCTAACAACAGTCTGTAACTCCAATTCCAGGGGATCTGACGCCCTCTTCTGGCCTCCTGCTCATCTTCCACAGGGAGGAAGCTGGGGCTGGAAATGCTTACTTCCTAGACACAGGCAAACGAAGGCAGAGAAAGTATCCAGGATAGACCTGCCCACCGCACCTCGGCCAGCACAGGCCCAGCTTGGCGGAACGCTAGTCTTGGTCTCCCATGGGCTCTAGGCTTCAAGCCCGTTGGCCAGCTTGAGGATGAGGATGGTTCCATTTCCCTCTGAGGCTATGTGGGCAGCAGGAGGCTACGGAGCAGTTTGATGCCATCAGGATGGGAGCAGCCTTGAATGCCTGCCACTTCTCTGCCTGACCTGGTGCAGCATACGGCTTTCCTCACTTTACCGGGTCTAGGCTCTGGGCTCTCCCTGCCCTCTTCATGCACAGCCTCCTTCTGACAGCCTGCCTGGCTCTGCCCAAGACTTTCAGAGGATTCTATGGGGTGGGGGCAGGTGGGGTGGTGGTGGTGTCGCCCTGTACCTCCCACTGTAAATACAGATGTAAGTACTACAATTGAGTTTAATATTTAATGTAATCGGGTTAATGCACATTCTAAACACCATAAATAATCATTAGCTGAGGGTTCTAATTGTGCTGGTGGGATCTGGCCTCATGACTAATTTAAAGACCAGAAGACATTCCTATACTCAGCTCCCCAAAACACTGTAAATCAGCCTACAGCCCAATCCCAGCATCACAGCTGCAGGCTCTGAGAGCCAAGGGCCCTGCTACCCTGGGCCTTCACTGACCTTCATAGCCAGCTGCCCAAGCAGATGTTCAATGCCATGGGGCTTTGAAGACGCCACCAGGCCAAGGGTCAAGGGCAGCTATTGAGGGCAGTACCAGGGGAAGGCTGTCTGTCAGGGGTGGGGGTGGTGCTGATGAAAGGAGCTACTGATGGGGCGTACAGAGGACTGTGTCCCTGGACCCTGCCACTGTGGCCGGGCACTCATAGGAGAGGGGGCTTGTCAGCAGAGTTGTGGGGGTGGGGGTGTAGAGCCCTGAGAACCTGAGTTTCTCAAGCAGGAGGTAAGAGACAGTGCTGTGAACCAGAAATTAGGGCACACAGGCTGCCAGGGACTGTGAGGTGGGATGAGGAGGAAGCCTGGGCCCATAGTCTAGGCTACAAACAAACATGGAATCGCAAAGTCCCAGGGTACGTGGGGACAACGAGGTACTCCATCCAGGGTGGGGTTCTTCCAGAAAACCTAAAAAGTAGAGCTGCTGTAGCCAGGGGCCTTCTGTTCTGGAGGACACAGCTTTGCTCCCCAAGACACCATGTATCCCCAGGGATTCAAAGTACCCCCCCCCCGCAAGATCTATAGTACTCATCAAGTATTACCAAGCCTTGACATGCTCCCCCAAATCTGACATAATCCCCAGGCCCTGATGTGTTCCTCTAGACCCGACATTCCCCTTAAACTAATACACTCCCTCAAAACTGACACCCTGTTGTGCGAGCCTCCCTCCTGGAGGGAGGGGGAGGGGTATGGGAAGCTCAGAAAGTTACCAGACTTGCAAGGCCCATCTCTGAGTTTCCAACTGCTGCTAGGGAGAGGAGACTCTTCAGTGGAGCTCACCGAAAAGTGTGCAGAACTCATCAGGGATGCAGCTTTTGTGAGTCGCCACCCATGCTGGGGTAGGCCTTTTATCGATGCAGCTGCTTTGTAGTCGCTGTGCTCCCGTAGGTAACCTCAATAAACTCGTTGCTTCACCAAGTCTGCAGGGTAGAATAATTCTTCCGTATGTGGTTAGTCTCTGTGTGGGATGAGTAGGAAAGTCACAGGACACCCTCAAGACCTGCTGAGCGGGTTGGGGAGATGCTCAGTGGGCAAAGCACTGACTGCACAAGTGCTCGGACCTGGGTTCAGACCCTCAGAACCCATGTTAAAGTGGGGTGTAGTAGTGTGCGTCTGTAATCCCAGCACTCCTACAACATGATAGGAGGTACAGACAGGAAAATCCCTGGAAGTCCATGGTCAGTGAACCTGGAGCACACAGCGGTCAGTAAAGAAAGACATGCTGCCTCAAAAGGTGGACAGCGAGGACTGACAGTGAGGTGGTCCTCTGACCTGTGTGTGTGTGTGTGTGTGTGTGTGTGTGTGTGTGTGTGTATACATGCATCATGGCACACACAGACCTGCACTCACACACAGGAATGCGTACACACACACACACACACACACACACACACACACACAGCAGAGACAGCCTTGATGTGTTCCCAAGACCTGACTTGCTCCCCAGGCCCTAATATGCTCCAGGCTGTAGAAACAGCATCACAGGAAGGGGGGGTGCTCTGAGTATCTGGTTCCTGGTACCCCAGTGAAGAGTCAAGGTCCTTGATGGTGAGCTACTGGCCTTGCCCTGTGTGATGAGATGTCTCAGGAGTCCACCATGGGCCACCTACCCCCAGAAGGTGGATTTGACCCTCCCTCCTGGCTGCTTAGGCAGTGCCTCAGCCCAGCGGGATTCAACGGGAACTGGGTTGGTTGCTCAGTGTGTGGGACCTGGGAACATGCAGATTTCATCTGGCCTGCACGCTCCTGGCCTTCACCGCTCACTGGCCAGGCCCGGATTCAGCCTGGGGCTGGGCTCCCACAGCCCTCACAGTTTTATGCCACTGACCTGGCATGTGGACTTCAGCAGTCCTCCGGGGCCCTGGCTGAGGACGTCTGGTGGCAGCTGCCTGTACAGCTGTGTGTATGTGTGTGTGTGTGTGTGTGTGTGTGTGTGTGTTGTTCTCATTTCTCTCCAAGACACAGGGTATAGATACACCCAGCTTTACAGGGGAGGAAACTGAGGCGCAGAGAGCTTCAGGTACCAATTATCGAGTATTACAATTGGAACTAAAATCCTGGCTTGTTAAACTTAGAACAACACTGTCAGTGGCAAAAGTGCATCGTAAGGGGAGCTGGGACGGGGCTGGAGAGGAGTAGGTAGTCACTCAGGGACCTTCAGAAGAGAAGACGGACTCAGGCAGGGCCGGTGTCTCTCCTTCTTTAGGTTGGGCATTGTGGGAACGTGGGTCCGGCACTTACTAGGTGCTCAGTACATGCTGATGAGTCCCACACCCCTTGCCTGTGCATTCCACAACACCTCAACGTTCCTAACTCTGTATTGGGATTGAGATCCCCGTGGGTGGCATGGGCCTTGCTGTCACTGCAGGCAGTGGGTGCTGGGTGGGCATCAAGTGGCCAGATAGAGGAAGGCATACACTACTCAGACCTAATCATGAACCTGCACTAGTTCCAGCCAGTTATTCCTTGCTACCGTCCAGCTAGTTTGTACTCAATAAATGCAGACTCACTATGGCCACTGCCTGGCCAGCTCTCTGCAGCCTGCAAGAAGCCGTTCTCTGCCAGACTGAGGATGCAGGTGAGAACTTGGCCACAGGGACTGTAGGCCCCAGTAGCCTGCTTCAGCAGGAGGGTACTCACTCAAGAAAGGGGGTGCAGGGTAGCAGCCATCTTTGAGAAATTAGGAAAATGAACCTGTGTTGCCAGAGGGAACCTTAGAGTCTTAGCAAGATGGGCGTAAGTGATGTGAGATGCTGGTTCAGAGGGCACATGCACGTCTGTGTGTGTGTGTGTGTGTGTGTGTGTGTGTGTTGTTTCTCTAGGCAGTGAACAGTCCAAAGGAAAGATCACGATCACCTATCATCATGAAGGCTACCACCAGGTCCATGAACATATATAGGTGTACAGAGAAATCACAGCTAGCCATGTGCGCAGCCTGAGGAGACCATAACTCCGTTTGGAAAGAAGCATGACATTCCTGTTGGGAGGACCTGTGTGAGCAGGCCAGGAGATGACTCCCAGAAGAGGGGACACAGAGGCTGCATGATCAGGGACGCACATGTGAATGCACACTCATATGTAAAACATGATGCCTAACCCTCAGGGGCCATGATGTCTTGCTCCAGATACCTTACAACCAGCCCTGCCTGTGCCCACTTCAGGGAGATGCCTCATACCTACCTTGAGCCACAGAGAGCCCTTGGATTGAACCCGTCTCCCAGGGCCACCTCAGGTGGGGGCAACGCTGGATCAGACGGCCATTAATTTTGGAGAACTGATACATTTTAGTCATAGCTGTGTGGCTGGTTTTGGGCATACAGACTAAGCAGGGTTCAAAGCTGTGATGCACATCTGGGTTCTCCCAACAGAGCTGGGTGGAGGAGAGTGGAGTTCTGATTTGCTTCAAAATTACATCTTTGTTTCCAGGTGCCTGAGCTCAGACAAGGGAAGGTACAGGGAGTAGGGCAGGCTGCCTTGGGGAGAAGGACTGTCCTAGTTTAGTTTCTGTTGCTGTGATAAAGCACTGTGACCAAAAGCAACAGGTCACAGTCTATCATCAAGGGATGCCAAGGCTCCAAGCTCAAGGCAGGACCTGGAGGCAGGAACTCGAGCAGAGACCACAGAGGAACGCTGCTTGCTGGCTGGTGCCCTGGCTTGCTTAATGGCTTTCCTTTTTCCCTTCCTTCCCCTTTTCTTTTTTCTTAGTCAGGACCTCCCTCTAGCCCCAGCTAAAGTGGAACTTGCTTTGTAGAGCAGGCTGGCCTCCATCTCACAGAGATCCCGCCCACCTCTGCTTCCCAAGTGCTGGAATTAACAGCGTGCACCACCATGCCTGGCTCTCAATAGCTTCCTTACACAACCCAGACCCAGCTGTCCAGTTCACAGTGGGCTGCGCCCCCCGCCCCGCCGCCCTCCGCCATCAATTAGCAATGAAGAAAATAGCCACAGGCTAATTTGATCTGGGAAATTCTTCCGTTGAGGCGCTCTCTCCCCAGGTGATTCTAGTTTGGTCAAGTTGACAGAAAGTAACCAGCACAGGGTCCCGTGTAGCCTGGAACACATCTCTGCCCTCTTCCTTGTTTTACTCATAATGTTCTGAGCAGAACCTCCCATAATTCTGGAGTGGAAGCCTCTCAATGAGCGAGCACAGAAGTGAGGGGAGGCTTCCTGAGAGACCTCTGTGGGCAGGCGGCCATACAGATTTCCCCAGACCTTCTGAGCCATGCAGATGTGGGTCCAGCCCTCACAGGAACCAGCACTGTGGCCCAAGCAGCTGGGTCTGCTTCATACCCAAGCTCCTTTCTCTGTCAACACAAAACCTTGCAGGGTGGAGGGACGGTCTTGGAGATAAGCCAGGAGTCACCAGGTATCTGGGGCCTGACAGGAGTCAGTGGGAGCCAGTGAGTGGTCATTTTGGTCTGGACTCGCCGTGTTTTGGACCCTGCATGCTCCACTTGCATGGCTAGCCTGCCCAGCCAGGATCCCACTCAGTAATCAAAGTGGTGGATCTGGCTGGAACGCATGGCTGACTGTGTGTGCACTTAACTGCCTTCCTCGAGGGCAGGCTCCACACATCAAAAGGTGCTAAAATCAATACACGAGCTTGAGGGCAGTTGTGCTTTTAAGTAAATCT